AGGAATGCCTACGAATCATCAACAACAGAGCACATTGGTCCATGAGAAGATGACAAGAGCTTTATCAATGCCTACAGAACGAGGACAACAAGGCACATTGGACCATGAGAAGAACACTAGCGCTCCGGCAATTTCCACAAAACATATACAACACAGCACATCGGCTCACGAGAAGATCACAAGGGTCCCAGCAATGACTACAGAACATGAACTACCGAGCACATCAACCCATGAGATGATCACAAAAACCCCAGAAACTCCTGCGGGACATGGACAACAGAGCAGCATATCAGCTCATGAGAGGATCACAAACACCCCAGCGATGCCTCCGGAACATACATCAGCAAGAGGAGAAGATCACACGGGCCCCATCAACACCGAATGAACATGAACAACTAAGCACATCAGCTCATGAGAGGATCACAAAGACCCCAGCGATGCCTCCGGAACATACATCAGCAAGAGGAGATCACACGGGCCCCATCAACACCTAATGAACATGAACAACTGAGCACATCAGCTCATGAGAGGATCACAAACACCCCAGCGATGCCTCCGGAACATACATCAGCAAGAGGAGAAGATCACACGGGCCCCATCAACACCGAATGAACATGAACAACTAAGCACATCAGCTCATGAGAGGATCACAAACACCCCAGCGATGCCTCCGGAACATACATCAGCAAGAGGAGAAGATCACACGGGCCCCATCAACACCGAATGAACATGAACAACTAAGCACATCAGCTCATGAGAGGATCACAAACACCCCAGCGATGCCTCCGGAACATACATCAGCAAGAGGAGAAGATCACACGGGCCCCATCAACACCGAATGAACATGAACAACTAAGCACATCAGCTCATGAGAGGATCACAAACACCCCAGCGATGCCTCCGGAACATACATCAGCAAGAGGAGAAGATCACACGGGCCCCATCAACACCGAATGAACATGAACAACTAAGCACATCAGCTCATGAGAGGATCACAAACACCCCAGCGATGCCTCCGGAACATACATCAGCAAGAGGAGAAGATCACACGGGCCCCATCAACACCGAATGAACATGAACAACTAAGCACATCAGCTCATGAGAGGATCACAAACACCCCAGCGATGCCTCCGGAACATACATCAGCAAGAGGAGAAGATCACACGGGCCCCATCAACACCGAATGAACATGAACAACTAAGCACATCAGCTCATGAGAGGATCACAAACACCCCAGCGATGCCTACGGAACATACATCAGCAGAGGAGAAGATCACACGGGCCCCATCAACACCTAATGAACATGAACAACTGAGCACATCAGCTCATGAGAGCATCACAAAGACCCCAGCGATGCCTCCGGAACATACATCAGCAGAGGAGAAGATCACACGGGCCCCATCAACACCTAATGAACATGAACAACTGAGCACATCAGCTCATGAGAGCATCACAAAGACCCCAGCGATGCCTACGGAACATACATCAGCAGAGGAGAAGATCACACGGGCCCCATCAACACCTAATGAACATGAACAACTGAGCACATCAGCTCATGAGAGCATCACAAGATCCCTATCATTGCAGAGCACATCGGTCCTTTCGAAGATGACAAGAGATTCGAGTAAGACTACAAAATACCTATCAGAAACCATCGCAACCACAGAAGAAACATCAAAATCCTCAGAAAAGCCTATAGTATACACAAAGAAGATCACATCTACCAAAAGAAGGACCACACCAATAAAAATCTCAATAAAGCCCACAGAAAACCCTACAAGAAATATAGAAACCACAGAGACTATGAAATCTCTAGTCAAGCTCACAGGAGACAAATCTATCTCTACTTCCTTTCCAAATAAAACTGCGGTTACTCATCAGGTGGCAGTTGGTTCTTTTACACCCACATCCAGCATGGAGCTCAATTCTATCATGTCAGAAGCCCCATACCAGAACAAAGGTGGCTTTCAGGGAGGTCTCCCTGTTGGAGTGGCAGGGGAGAATGGTTCATTTCCTGTGTGGGCCATAGTTATTGTGGTCCTGGTGGCAGTGATACTCTTTCAGATGTGTCTTGGCCTGATCTTTTTGGTAAGGAACAGGGATGCTTCAGAAAATGAACCCATGGGATAGGGCATTGAGAAAAGGTTACGGATCAGAGCTAGAGGGAATAATGAGACTACGAGAAGAGATATAGTGGGGATGGGGATACCGATAGAGGGGTAGTGGTGGTAAAAACTGTGGGGAAAGACAATAGATCCATGGGACATGAAAAGTAGAATTGGAGGGAAGGCTGTGGGCTGAGGAAAAGGATGCAGAGGAAGGAAAATTTGAAGGTTGGAGATAGTGTCTGGGATATGAGATTAGGGGATATGAGGACAAGACAAATAGGGCAGAGGAAAGAATTGGAGGTGAGGTCTAGAACTCTGTATTGAATCTGGGGCTGCAATAAGGATCAAGTTTGGATGGAATCTTGGGAAAAGAGCAACATAAGATCTGGATCAGGGAAAATAGAACCAAAGGACCTGGGATAAGGGTGTTGAGGAAGCAAATGACGTGATAGACGGTACTCAGTTCTCTTTTCTCCTCCCAATCACAGGTCTCCTATATGGCGCGAACACGCCGTACACTGTTCCACAACACTGAGGACAATGACCCAGAAGATAATGTGGGTCCCAATTCTTACCCAGTCTACTCGATGGAGCAGCAGACTCTTGGTGTGGGCCAGACCTCTTCCTCACAATGATCTTTCAGAGAGTGCCCACCTCCAGCTCTTCCTTGCTCTATCCCTTTCCTGGATGAGGAATTAGACGCACAATTCCTATTTCCTTGACTCTAGGAAGGGCAAAGTACTGACAGTTGACAGCATCAACCCTTCATCTGCTGTGTCGTTATTAAAACTGGTCAAGGAATGAGATGATAAGCAAGAAAGATGTGAGTTTGGGGAATAGAAAAGAAGGAATGAGTAAAGCAAGCAAGTGTTCTCTCTAGAAGATGATGATCTGAGAATGAAAAGATGTTTGATGGACACATGGGGTAGGGACCAATACAAGACACTGAGTCCTGATGGGGGCAGCATGGCTAACGGAAGCTTGGGAACCTTAGAAAGCAAGTCCAGATCTGTCATATGAGGTGGGGTTATGAGAAGGAGGAGACTGAGAACAGAGCCCCTGGGTTTCAGGAACAATCTATACTATTCTCATCCACTGTTATCTAGAGTGTATGTAAACAGGAATGTCTGTGAGTTCCCAGAGCCCTTACCCTTCTTCTTTTGTCTTTTGTTTTTAACAACAACAACAACAACAACAACAACAACAACAACAACAACAACAAAAGGATCTGAGAGGAAAGAGGATTTATTTCTATCTCCACTCTACCCATTCCCAGCAGAAAGGAAAATTCCAGAAAAAAATCACAAACATCTCTCACTCAGATGGTTCTTCCCTCTTTCTCCCAAATTCCTTAGTTTTTCTCAATGTCTGCAGTGGGCATCCCGATGGTTTGGCTTGCTGTGTGGTGGGTGGGCACACAGGGAGGGATTTTTTTTGGCCTGCAGTTTTGATCACTTTAAAATTTAGAGAGAAACCCTTTAGCAAGCTGCGGGGCTGGGCTCTCTTTAGGAAACATCACTTCACGAGTGGCTCCCTGCTCACAAGTTTATGGAGTCCTGGTCCCCCCAGAGAGAGCATCTCCGCGGGAGCGAGCTCCCAAGACCCTTAGGGCTGGGGTAGGTGTGAGGGGCCAGAGCAAAGGGGCGAGCCCAGCAGGGCGGTCGGGATGCGGGGCTGGAGCCTGGAGCAGTGGGGACTCCGGGTTGCCGGAGTCCGCGGCCTTCTCTCCTTCCCTCCTCCACTGGCCGGCGGCTCCCGGACCTCGCTCGCTAACAGAGCAGATTAGTGGCTCTCGGTCGCTGGCACCCAGGCGTCCGCCCGAACAGGGCTGGACCGGGAGGAGCCGCCGCCCGTGCGAGCGCGCGCGGGGACACTCGTCCGCGACTCCTGCCAGTTCCGGTCCGCCGAGTGCCCTCCCAGGCTCTGTCTCAGGCCGAACCCCTCTTCAGGACCTGGCTCCGGCTCTAAGCGCCAGACTGCCCCCACTGACCATGACTCTGACCCCCACCTTCACCTTGCTGCAAATTCACCTGTATCCTCTTCCTCCAACCCTCAGCTCTAAGCATGAACACAAATAGCAGCTGTTTTCATTTCCCTTAGAATCCTAGAGTGTGTAGCTGCTTGATACATGTTTTGTATCTATCTTGAAAATCCTAGTTTCTATATCATTCTTAATTTCTAATTAGAGCTAGGCTCCAGGTCTAAATAAAGCCAAGTCAAGTGAAAATATCCCTTCCAGAAATGCTGCCTAAATTTAAACCCTTGGTCAGCTCTCATAATCCCCAGGTAGAGAAACACATGCCGAAGGACCACAGAGAGCCCAGGGCTATGGGAGTTGTGAGCGAAATTAGCCCTAGGAGAAGCAAACTCTGAGCTTCCACATTTCTAGCCATTAAACCTGACTTCTCTCCTAGACTCCTGCAGAATTTCAAGTTTCTCTTCTTAATAATTAAAACTCAGTGTTGACAACTTATAAAGCCCCTTCACTTCCACTGTAGGATGGCATGCCTAAAAAGGGAGTGGGGAGGGTAGGTGTAGAATCTATAGAAGCAGGTTGAATGAACAGGAGGGCTTTTTGTTCATTCAAAAATATTTCCTTCGATGTTTGTTTCTTGTGTCTTCCCTCTGCTCTCTCTCAATGACAGTCTGCTGGAGACTGCTGTCTTGTACATCTTGTTCTCTTCCTTCTCCCTGCATCTCTGTGAGCCCATTCATTTTCGAACTATTTTTTTCTGCAGATGACTCATCTCTAGATTGTCCTTGCTCTGAAATCCAGTCCTATATTTTCAAGGTTCCTCCCCCATAACATCTTCACCTGGATGCCACATCATACTGAACATGACATTCATGTGTTCATTTTGCAAATATTTTAGGAGCGCTTGCTCAGTGCTAGATTTGAAGAGCAAAGCAGTGACAGGTCCTGCCTTTAGGGAGCTCATAGCCTACCGGGAAAGGGAGATATCACACAAAGAATGACATATAAATTAAAAAAAGTTACAAGTGTGCAAAAATGCCAACAGGCACTGCCTCATGTTCCTACCATCAGATCTATCCAGTCACCCTCATCTGCATTCATTCTCTCCCTCCCTTCTTCGTCCTTACACTGGAGGAGTGTCCGGCCACGTGGGCTCTGGTTCCCTTCTCACCCTTCCTGCGTTCTCAGTGTCCCCCTTTCTCTCTCCCTCCCACGCTTCTTTCTTTTCCCTCTCCAGCGTCCTTCCCATCAGTGTCCAAACAAACTCTGGAATGGTGTGCACAAGAATTACCTGGAAGAGCTTTTATTTATTTATTTTTATTGTGGTACAATTGACATACAACATGCCATTAGTTTCAGGTGTACAACGTAATGATTGAATATTTGTATATATTGTAAAATGATCACAGTAAGTCTAGTTAATATTAATCACCACATATAGTTACACTTTATTTTGTGTAAAGAGAATTATTAAGATCTATTATCTTAGCAACTTTCAAATATACAATACAGTATTACTTCTTATAGTCATCAGGTGTATGTTACATCCCCAGGACTTATTCATAGTATAACTGGAAATTTGTACCTTTTGACCACCTTCATCCATTTCGCCCACCCCCCATTTCCCACCTCTGGCAACCGCCAGTCTTGTTCTCTGTATCTATGAGTTTGATTTTTTCTTTAGATTCCGTATATAAGTGAGAGCATACAGTATTTGTCTTTCTCTGTTCAACTTATTTCACTTAGCGCAATGCCCTCGAGGCCCATCCATGTTGTTGCAAATGGCAAGCTTTCCTTCTCCCTCTCCCCACCCCCCGCTTTTTTTTTTTATGGCAAAGTAATATTTTATTGTATATATATGAGATTATTTATAAAAATGTAGGTTTTGGTTCTTTCCCTTGTAGTTCCTAAGTTTGGAGTGGGGGCTGGAATCTGCATTTCAACAAGCTCCCAGGCAATCCTGATGCCCATGGTTCAGGGTCCACACTTGGAAAATCTCAGCTCTTCCAGTGTCCATCTTAACGTTTAGCGTTCCCAGCAATGCCCTCCTTCATTGCCAAGTTTCTTGAAATATTTTCCTATAAATATTGTCTTCATTTCCTCATGTCCTACTCACTGTGCGTATGTTTCTTTTGCAAATTTTACTAGAGTAATTCATGTAAATAGTTTTAAAATTTCAATAGTCTGAAAGTCTCATTACAAAAAACAGCCACCTCTGATGCTCCCACTTCTTTTCACTTTTGAGTCCTGCCTCCAGAGGCAATGACTTCTAATTGTTAGCTTTTTCCCCCAGTATTTGCATCTACAGATTTAAACATCACACCCGTTTTATATTGCTATTCATAGATTTTAAACAAAGACCATAAAGGCATCTTTTATTGAGTCAGATAATATTATAAGGCTCAAAATAGTTTCTTATTCCAATTTTGTCTCTTAAAAGATTGAATAATTTAGATGTATCCAATATTGTGAGGGACAAATGTCCTTTTTAAAACAAAACAAAACAAATTTAAAAAATTCTAATTAATTTTCTTATTAGTAAACTTCACTTTTAGCAACAATTATTAAATAAAATAAAATCTCTAATAATAAATTACACGAACCCAAGAGAGAATGTCCATGCTTGTTGCTCCATTTGTTCAGAATGTAATTTATCTAGAATTTGACTCACAAGTTTTAAAATCAACTGTATTAAAACATGACAGTATATTTCCAGTTAACTCCTGCTTGTGTCTTAGGAAAGCTGTTATGGAAAAAAAAGGACCGTTTCACAGGTAGTTGACACAGGTGGCAAATTTTGGGAATTGGGAACTACAAATGACAGTCTTTATTAACATTCCAAACCATGGCTGTAATGAAGTATGGAATACTCTTAAATAAATTCCAAGTGCATAAAATGGCATACCAGAATTTCTCCTTTTTTTTTTTGCAAAGCAAAATACTAGCACAGTCCTGAATATTCATCTTCTTCTGTCAGCTCTGTGGTGGGTCATCCCCAGGCTTGTGCTGTGGTGTTGCTGCTAACTTCCTCCTGCTCCTTCTTTTCTTAATTTTCCTCCTCCTTTTTCTTAAAGTTTTTATTGTGGTAAAATATGCATAACATAAAACTGACCATTTTAACCATTTTTTAAGTGTACAGTGTAGTGGCATTAAGTGCATTCACATGGTCGTGTAACCATCGCTGATGATTTCTTCTTGATCCCCCTTCTGAAACCAGCGCACTCAGGTCCAATTTAGCATGCTCGCTATCCGCGTACTTGCAGTGTGGAGAGTTGCAGACCTCTGACACTGTAGCCTGATCCTGCTGGTCAGCTTCCAGAAGCTGTCCTAGGCCAGCACAGCTGTTGCTTCCATGGGCCCTGGTATGCTAAAGCTCTCCCCGACAGCTTTCTGCAGCCACGTGCTCTTTTCTGTGCAGGTGAGCTAAGACTGGAGCAACTTTTTTTCTTATAACCAGTTGGATAATTCTCAATTTCCTTATAAATATTTTTTTTCCTTCTAAATAGAGAGCCGCCTGGTCAACACTGCATCCTTATATTAGCACTCTTGAGCCTTTTCCTAAGCATTGAACTACCTGTTGAAGTGTTCCTCATTTTTAAACACATTGGCGGTCTGTTGATACAGTCATACAGACTTTTCTAGATCTGCGCTTGCTATGAG